TGGAGAAATCAAGTCACTTCTTGTTCGAACACATTTTGCACAGTTAATAGCCCTGAACAAAATAATTAACAATCAATTTGACTGTCCGGCACTGCTATCCCAGATAGCTTTTAATTTAGTCTTAGTTCTCTTAACCATGGTGTTTAAAAACCGAATTTCAAAATTCTTGTTTCATTCAAGTTTATATAAATTGGTTTATTGTTCTAGAAAGGTACTCGGTAAGACCCTTAAAGTTTTTTCAATCTATTTTCGATTTTTAAATTATATTGTGCCTTCATGTGCAATAAATAACATGTAAAAATTAACGAAAAGTTTTCAAATCTTTCCTTAATTGTTTGCGAAAAACGTCGCCTGATTCTCGTTTTTCAAGCCAAATGCTTCATCCATATTATAGCGTCGGTAAGTCGAAACTGATATGAGTGGGCAAATAAGTTTTAACCAACTTCAGAACTCCTCCATCATAGGTTCCGTAACATTAGCCTCATAATTACCGCGAAAACCTCAGAAGTTTCCATTGTTGGAGTTGCGAAGTGGTTTAAAGAATAACGTATTATAATAATTAACTTTCTGGCCATCAATCAAGGCGCCATCTGTCCGACTTCGAGGAAAATAACGAAACGTAGCCTATCTGTAATTTATTGGTTACTATTATATATAAGGGTAACATTACTATGGGGCTGTCACACTGTTATATTCGCATGCGTTCGGTCCCTGAAAGGGCCCTAGAATATCAGTGTTTCTTACTTCCCCCCGAACGGCTCAACCGCTGCTGATGAAATTAGACGTAAACACCGGAGAATTTTGGTTATTGTTAGGTTATTTACTAACTACTCGACTAGACTACTTTAGTACAATAATCTAGTGAGCTAAGGTGCGCGTGTATATAGGACCTTGATGGTATCCAGTCTATACCTCTAACTTCGAATTTATTTAACCTTTACTATAAATGGTTCAGGTAATAAATTAAATAATTTAAACTCGGCTCCATAGAGTTAAAATGTTAATACGAGAGTCAGACGCCGTAAACAACTATAAATAGAGATGGGAACTGAAAAGCAAACATTTTTACCCGAAGTTAGCGTTCATTTGCCGCATTCGTATAATTGATTATCCGTCCGAATATAAAACAATGAATAATTCTAACAATTTGAAGCTATTTTCTGAGCGTTTGATTTACGTAAATCTATGGCCGAAGTCACGACTTTTAAGTGTTTATAGAACAAATTCCTGTAAAGGAAAGTGTATTTCTTATATTTTTGGAATTTAACTTTCTATAAGGGTGCTAATTAGAGGATAAGTTTATTCGACCATATCGCATATATATGCCGTCACAATTGTGTATTCGTAAATATGCTATTCATCCCAATATCCAAAATCAAAACAGTTTGACAGAATATCTTGTTATATATGGCAGATATATGGCTGGGCCTCATTTTACCTGCCTTACATTGCGAAGAGGTCTTGTGTTCCTTTCCCATGAATCGAACTACAGATAAGACACAATACTAAATAATAGTTATATTCAATATGAACATTCTAAATCCTAATGATAGTAGATCTAAGGTTAAAAACCTGTGACATCGTGAATTATAGCCTAGTGATTACTGCACTCGATTGCAGAACAAGGTCCCAGAATCCAATCCTGGATTGGGCGGTAGTTTTGAAATAGGTGTCACCACTAATAGACAATTATTGTGTGACTACGTCTCTATCCATTAATCATTACCGAGTAAATTTGATTATGATAACAACTCACTATTTCGTTCTCTCGAAATAGTCGATTAAAAGTTCGGGCGGTTAATAATCGGGGATCGAAGTTTAAGAAGTCCACAATAAAGCAAGGGGTAAATGGAAATTTCTTTAATACTTTTAATTGAGTAATTTCACGCATCTGTCGTCGGTCGGAGTTTACTGAAACTCGATTATGGACCCTAATATTGAACGTAATTAAAATCTCCCTTTCAATTTACCTAACGACTTCTAAATAGTCGTAATTACAGTTCACATGATAATTTTTCTTTTTACATTTGTTATTTATCACGTCATATGGTATAAGCAGCTTCCTATTGCTTTTCCGATCATTTAAAATTTGTTATATAATTTACCTATTTAATTTTAAAGTGAACATAAACCTTTGTTAACAAATTTCAATGGATTAGCATGTTAAGGCGCGATTAATAGACCAACGAAAAAATTGCGAGAAAACAGTAGTATTTAAACTTAATTGTGATTACGTGTTTATATCGGAACTGTGATTTAATGGAGAATGTATATAAAATACAAATTACTAAATGTTACTTGAATGGTCATTTTGTAGGTTGACAGGCTACTTATTATTTTTTTGCTGATTAATTAATAAGTTTAACTTGTAAGTTAAGTCTTATGTTTTAACCTTTCTCCACAATTAATATTTATACAATTAAATTTAAATAAATAGGCATAGATTACAGGACATATCTTACGGAATAAGTCGAGCGACAAAAGTTGTCGTGTACAAAAGAACGGGCGAAGAACCTTCAGGCAAGTACTCGTAGTATAGAAAGTCAAGTGAATGGATGCGAAACAAATAATTGGAGGCTTAATGTGAGTTCGCTCGTAAACGGTTAAGCAGCACTTATGCTGAGAGCCTGCTGCTGGACTGTCTTAAAATTAAGGGTGAGGGTACACTGGGTCGGATAGCTTTTGAATAATACAAGGGCATAATGAAATCGGGGCGCGCATGTTGGAGGAATGGATATTCAACTCGTATTTGCACTTATGAGGAAAATAGCTTTTATTCGTATCAAGAACCTTTGCACATCTGTGCGCCCTCTACCATTTCTTTCTGGTCTGAACCTCTACTCCACCTATCTCCAGCTGCCTTTCGAATTCTTTCTGTTTGACCGCTATATAGAACAAATACTGACTAACAAATACAACTGAAAAATTAAATCTTCACCCGTATTAGACCGCGATGAAAATTGGTAAAAAAGTAAGAACGGAATGATAATATATTTTTTTCCAAATCAGTTAAACATTCAATTTAAATGATAATTTATGCTAGCTCGGTAAGTATTTAAAACCACTTGTTGTTGTGGTGTTTTTCCTTTATGTTTTGAGTGGTCCCGCTCATAATCAGCCGTGCGCGATGCTCAAGCCCAGTTTCTCGGTGTATCTAGAGCCTATAATTACACAGAATAGAGTTAGCACGGTTGTTAGACATTCAAGAGGCAATCAGCCGTGCCTTATGTGATATGCTGTATGCTCCACGCACGAAGCGTCTTGAAATTTTAATCATTTCGGTGTCTTGCACATATATATATACATTTACTCGAACCCTGTATTATGATTTAGTACTCATACTATTAGAAGGCTACTTTTCTCTTGAGTTGCTTCTTTTCCTAAATTAAAGAAGCAAATTTTATTATGGAACCAGATTTTTTTTTTAAATAATCAATCGATGAAAAGCCATTTGTTTGACGACGCGCGTCATGGGTATAATTCATAAAGCTGAGGATGTTGTTTGCGAAAATAAATTATATAATGCCCAAAATAACTATTCCACACGCTCGAAGTCTTGGGCACAGTTAGTTATGTATACAAGTAATAACAGTTAGGGGCCTAATTAAGACTATAAAACGAAAATAGCTCATAAAGAAACATCTAGTCTTGTGAAAAGCGCAAACAACTTTCGCCCCAATGACTTGGTCCTTTTTTTAATTTCGCGGTCACAATTAGTTAAGCTTCCGCAACACGGTATAAGCTCGTAATTTAAAGAGAATAACAAAGAAAGTTCGGCTTGCAGGTGACGCTTTTCCGTTTTATTAAACAAACTCGCCGCGATACTTGTCACTTTTATACCTTGGGGAATTGGAACCTAGTGAAAAGGCTTAAACAGTTTCAGAATTTGTTCCTGAATAAGAATAAACTATTTCACCTCAATAATAATCATTTCATTATGGAAGCTTTGTCCTCGAACGTAGCACCTAGTTTTTAACAAGACATATTAATGTTAAAGATATGGGAATTTCTGCCGTGCAGATGAACTAAGGTTCAGACCTGACCCAGGCACCTTCATCCCGTACGAGTGTGGCGTTAAAAGTTATGAAGCAGTAATATTAATATTATAGGTTTATGCAAAAATGTTTTTACGACTTGGGTTTATCATGATTACGGACCATTACGGCTATCGTAAACTCCACGTATTACTTTTATACTTTAAACGTACTTTGAATTTAGGAGTTCGATATAAAATGACTTTGCAGGGAACGAATAAAGCAAATTACCTGTAAGACTACAGATTCAATATATTCATCTTAACAATGTATTGCCCTAGTCATCACCTTAATGTATTAACCGTAGTAGGTCTTTGGTCCAAATTCCTAGGACAATCGGTCGGCCATATGTCATCCACGGCATATGTTTGTATGTAATATTAATCAGCCTCTAACCAAATTTTACAGGCCACAATTTTTTTCGTAACTTGACGTAATTTAAACTCTATGAAAAAACGTCGCACATAACGGCACTGTTATGATACGGATTTGAAGTCCTTTTATAAGACAAACACACTCAAAAGATATTCTCACTTAGTTTACATTGCCTTAACAAACTTTCCCGATCAAAGCACTCAAACGTCAAAGGCTTCAAAATCCCCAGTCTCATTAATTAAACGAAAAGGTACAAAGAACTTGCCAGTTGTCAAAACAATTACCATCAAATCGGCTAAAATTAAATCCTCGCAGACGCTCAGGGACATTGAGTTGACAAATCTGATAATATTTTGATCAAGCTTTCAACCTTTTAAGTTGTTGAACTAGTTGACACGTTGAAAGCCGAAAGGTCTTAATTGAATTATTCGGCATTCGAAGACTTCATTGGGAAGCTTTTTAGATATACAAAGAACGTCTAATCGTCTCGGATCGCCACCGACTTCACAAACAACCTGGCCCCACCCGAGTCAGGCGTCACCATGGTAACCCACACGTAATCACAGTAAACCTTCTTCGTGAAATATAAAAATGTCGAAAAATAAAAAAGGGATCGTGTGGGAGGATAGAGAAGTGCTTTTCGATTTACCTTACGAGTAAGCTTGATATCGTTTATTCATATCTATTAAAACTTTGAACGTTTAGCAACAACAATACGTGTAATGTAATGGCGCGCTAATGTAGGCTAGCGGCTTAGCTTCGAACATTTTATTTTCATATTAGATTACACCTCTGTTTCTATAAGTAATTTCTAATGAAATTTTTACAGGTACCTCAAATTGCGTTCCGGGGAAAAGATTTTCGACCGAATCGAAGCCATAGAGGACACAAAAGGCAACTCCGGTATTAAGGGTAGGATGGTGGTGACTAACCTGAGGGTTATTTGGCACTCGTTGTCTTCACCTCGGATCAATCTATGTAAAGCTTCTTTCATAACCTTTTATACTGCTTAAGATCATTAGATAATCTATATCTAAAATGTTAATATGTACTCAGATGAGAGGCTTGATTTGACCAAATTCGATCTTGGAATCTATTAATAAAATTTCAACTGAAAGAAATATTGAGTAGTTTTAAGTTTAGCAGCGACGTAATAGATAATAACTTCTTACGACCCGTGCTTGTATAGAATGCATTCGATGGATATGTTTAAACTCTTTATAAAATAATTTCGTCAATTTAAACCGAATACTGGTCTCATCACTAGTATATAGTAATTAAGTAAGTGGCGAAGTTTAAAATTTTGCCCACATATATATATATTTTTTAATACGCTACAATATGTATTTAGTATTAACCAAATAAGTTTGATTATATCGCGCTACCAGAACACCTTCCAATACTCGTATCTTCTAAAACTATCGTCGAGGCTACTTACATTAATTAATATCATCCCTGTTTACTTTATCTCTCAGGAATTTCCAGGGGATTAAATTACAAGTCATGTAATTGTTTCTTTAAGATTAATTATGATAGTACCAAAGTGATGTAAAGATTACTGTATCTTTTCATCTCTCGCGTTAAAAAAGTTATTTAGCTATATTTTTATTTATAAGTAAATACTAATACATTTCGCGTTTTCAACCGTCGACAGGGTTTTATTTAAACAACGTACGCATAAGCTACAGACAATACTACCTTCAACTCATAAGTTTAGAATCTAGAAAATTTAAACGTTAATTATGTTTCTTGAACGACAACAAATTAAAAAATTAAATTAATCGCTAAGATAAATAATAAGTGATCAGTGACTTTAATACTTGTATTTTTTTGTAGCCATCGGCCTCAATTGTGTCATATCAACAAGCAGCAAAATGGTGAGTTCTGGCTTGCGAGGTTCCACCCAAGCCTTGTACGTCCTAGCTACCTTCAGAGACAATAAATATGAGTTTGTTTTCACCAATCTCGCACCCAACTGCATACGCCATTATACTACGGTCACTACAGTGCATAAGTGAGTAACGGGACGGGCGATAGTTTAACTTTGGGATGAATTCTTTTTATAGTTATTTATGTTCTTGTTTTTCAGGGCCTATGTTGCTTCTAGACTATACAGAGACTTGAGACTTCGTGGAGCTATCGTTCATAATAAACAACTTCGGATGTTGCATCTTGAGCAGGTCCACTATTGAATCAGAATTATTAAACACTAGCTGTGTCGGCGACAGCGACGGCCTCCGCGGGAATCGTCATTTTAAACATTCAAATTCGTTTTTGCAAACCCCTTCATCTTTATAAACTTAAACTGTAACCCACGACCCGGTCGCGTCCCTTCCCGTCGTTCTTGCAAGTTAATCTCAAAAGATAGAAACATAACTTCGCAGACTTTTTGTACATCATTTAGAGAGGAAATATTATTTCATACATATTTTTTGGGTATCTTGAACCATTTTTGCAGCGATGATGAAACCATTGATGTCTTTATTAGTTAGTAATTTCCGCTGGTCATGTGTTGTTCATGTGGACAACCCTCGGTGGAGGTAGTCACCAATAAATGTGGCTAATTTAATTTTCAGATTTCTCTCATGGAGTCGGGCGTTTGGAATCTTTCCAGCGAATCGGGCAATCTTGGAACAATGATTGTAACCAATGTTAGAATCGTATGGTATGCAGACGTCAACGAAGCTTTTAATGTCTCTCTACCGTACATTACCATCGAAAATGTAAGATACCCTTTTAAGGTATATTTATTGATGCTATTTCAATTGACGAAATACAGGATATCCAAGGCCAAAAAAGGCGCATCTTTTCTATATGTTAGGGGTATTTCACCTTCGATCTGGTGAACCAGATGCTTGCCTATCCTCTATTATAAATAAAAAATGAAATATTCGACGTGAAAATGTAAGTTATACAACTTTGTCAAAACATAGTTGAAGAATTTTATTTCTGGTTGTAAGAGCTTTATACTTACAACAGTTTACAGTTTCTTGTAATTTATCGTGCGATATTTTAATGCGTGCCTCAAATTTTACAGATTTCCATTAGAGACTCTAAATTTGGTAACGCCCTCGTCATTCACGTTCGGTCAACCTCTGGAGGCTACGTCCTCGGTTTCCGAGTCGACCCCCCGAATAGACTTATTTCTCTGCTCTCGGAACTACAAATCTTACACCAGGCTTACACTGAAAAACCCATATTTGGAGTCGAAATGAATTGGAATCAAGAGGTAGAAAGATTAAAAACCTGCTGTAACTATATTTTACTCCTTTTAAACTAACGTCTGGTTACTATTATGAATCGATAAAGGGAATCATGGTACTGACCTGAAGAAAACCTAAAACAGAGATCATAACAAAAATATGTCAGATCCTATTTTCCCGACCGTTTTAATGATGTGTTAATTAAAATTCTATCTTGTTGCTAAGGAACCGCGACATTTAAGCGACGACATTGAAGAATTGGAAGAAATCGGAGAACCACGAGGTGAAATGGGGCCTTCTCTGTACTTGGCATCGCAATTGGCGCAGAATAAAGAAGGTTCAAACGTGCAACCTGTGTACAGTCCTTATCTGGGACTAGCTATTGAACCATTAAAGGAAGGATTCACATTGAAAAGCATCTTTGAAGTTCAAACGACTTCGTAAAACAAGGAAATACCGCATTTTGCACCAAGTTTTTTTAATAGTATAATAAATAATTGTATTATTTTACAATTTATATTCCAACCCGCATTTGATAAAAACAATTGGATTGGACGGCATCTGTATAAATTAAAATGATGACATTTTATATTTATTCTAGAAATTAATTTATTTGGATACAAACATTAACAATGTATATTTTTGTTGCATACTGTAGGGATAGTTTTTTATCTGTGCTTGAAGTAACATTAACTAGTAAGTATCAGGTTTCGCATTTGAAATATACATATAATTTTTTCAATGATCGATTGACACTGACAATTTGCTGCTGTCTGTCAGCTGTTCTTTTACTAGATATTATGGTGTTAAGAACTTGTGTGAACTTGTTTACAGTTTTCAACCAACAATAGTTATACATTTTTGAATAAATATTATCTTTTAGAATAGGATATAATTGGCTAATTACATTCTATGTGAGTATGATTTTAAAATACAAGTGCGGAAATTTTGAATATCAGTTGTAGTGGATACAAAACATAACGTAACTTATATAGTTACGTTCTTATGCTATACCTTTTCTACGAGCGTTTTCATATAACTTATCAAAAATGAACAAAGAAAACGTAGGTGCAGCTGCTCTGGTGAGTAAATCGTGAAAATATTTTTTTTTAAATTTTACTTTATTTCCAGTTCAGGTTTCACAAGGCTTTACTTGTATGAATGCACATGTTTGTTATTGAAACATTTTTTTTTTCAGAGACGCTCAGCAATAGCTGAAAGATTAAAACTTAGAGAAGAGTGGTCAGCGCTAAAGGGAAACACAAAACAGACACAGTGCAACAAGAAAGTTCTTACTAAGAAAACATATAATGTAAGAACTGCTAGACAACTAAACAAAGAAATGCAAAAAGTAAGTCTATAATAAGAAAGTCAAATAATAATAATTTTAAGTTCTGTACTATTTTCTAGCTTTTTTAGAATTTGGAAAAAGTTTGTTTTCTTTTTTTTTCTATTATAATAAGTATAATATTTTTTATATAGCCAGCTGTGCTTAGTCAGACAGACACAAGTGAAGCCCTACGAGGGGTAGTGGCATATGTGGAAGTTGGAACTGAATCTCGTGCTTTGGCACTCCGTGCAGCATTGACTGCAATGGGGGCAACCATAGTGCCTTCATGGAGTCCCCTTGTTACACATCTGATATGGACAGACGGTAAACAATTCAATTTAATTTATAAAGAAAAACACTTATTTCAGACCTCATTGAAATTGTCTTGGATATGGTGATTACTCTTATCCATTGGACTCAATTTCATTAATCTTCTTTTTAAGGTGGCTGTCGCAAAATCCGTGCCAGGGCTCGAGCCCTCGCCTGTCAGCTAGTATCTCCTTTATGGGTGGAAGCCTGTGCTTCTGCAGCAAAACGACTGCCTGAGCGTTTATTTCCTGCACCAACCAGACCGTCTGATTTGCCTTCGCCAGCCACCCTTAGGCAGTTACTGGTAAAAACAATACCATCTTAATTAACAGATAGTACATATCATCACTAGACTTAAAACCTTAACAACTTTTTTCATATCAATAAAACATCTAATTTGATCTATAACCAACTGAATACCAAGCAGTACTTTCCATGATTAGGTAGAACAGACAGACAGAATTGATTCTTATATTGTTTTTTCTTATAACTTTGTATTCACAATTTTTCAAATCTTTATTTTATTAAAATATAAATTTTAGTCTGACACTCTTTCAGAAAAAAGCTGAGCACGAGAATATGCCATTAGTTGACTCGCGAAGCCAAAGAAGTGATGACGATAATCAGAGACTGCCAAGACTTAGAATATCAAGTGAGACTGAGGACAGCCGTGGCCAATCGCGAAACAAGTCAGACAAATCAAGTAGAGATCAGTCACGGGACACATTGAAAGATCAAAGCTGTGTCATAAGCAAAAATAATGATACTGTTATACCAGGTACATGTTTTCTGATCACTGTAATTGCCTGGTTAAACGTATCGCTTATCGTCGCCATATGTAAGCGTGCAAGGTCGGCAAGGCACTCGGGATTGATTAACTTCGTTTTCTAGAATCGGTCCATGAAATTAACATAGGGAATGACCCATGCTTCACATAGATCTATTCACTTTTTTCATTTTGTAACTCATATGCTGTGTTACTTAACTATATAAGTATGGCAGAACCCTTCTATATTAAATATATCAAGTGCAATGAATAGCTAAATAAAAATATTAATTCAACAACTTTTCAATATTTAGTAGTCATTACCTAATTATATTTACAATAACAAAGGCAATTTACATATTTCAGGTCAACCACAAACCGATTTGATGACAAGACAGATGGCTTCTTCTCCAGCTAAATATAAACGGAAGCTTTTTACACATAAAGAGGCGGAAGTGGTGACTGATGACAAAGGTAAAATTACTAACATAAATAAACAATCATTTGTATTATTACAAGGGTCTCATAATACGCGTGACTTTAGTGCGTTCTGCAATTCTGTAAACTATTTTTTTTTTAATTATAATTTTCAGGACAAACCCCAACTCCGGAACAACCAAGAAGGTTTCAACCAGTCACACCAAGACAGAGAAGGTACTTTGCTGCTGCTGAGAAAATAGCAAGGAAGTTAATTAAAACACCGATAAAAACCAACGCAAATAGAAAAACAAGAAACGGGCAGAATCAGACAGCGATACATAGAATAGTTAGTTTCCTCATCCCAATTAAATTACTAAAAACCATGTTAAAGCCGAGTTCAGGCAATCGAACTGGCAGCGCTAAGAGTATCTTTACACGAACCATTTCACGCCACTTTTGACCCCTCTGAAACTTTAAACCTAATTAACACATGAAACTAAATCAAAAATCAAAATTTCATGAAGCTAGCTTAAAAGGTTACAAAGATATGTACATCGAGAAATTGTAAAAATGAGTTATGACTGAATTACCTGTAGTAGCTAAACCTAAGGTACTTCCAGATAACCTAGAGTGCTGAAATTTGGAATCCAGTTCGATAATTAGTAAGTCAAAAAAAGTTAAAAAAAGGTGGGGTCCCCACAAATTATATGGATAAAAATGTATAAGTCTTGAAATAAGTCAGATTTAGCTTGGCCAGTATATCGGAATTGAATAACTTTATAAAATGTCTGATTTAATGAAAGCTGGCAAAGTCTAATGTAACTTACGTCAAGATTTCCCTTTTTTTATTGCAATTATTGTTCATATCCAATAAAGCAAACAAATAGAGTTTATTACTTGTTCATAATATTATTTTGTTCCTAAGTAGATACTTTGATTTGGCGTAAAACTTGGCGCTCATTTAGATCTCCCTTTTTACGGCGAAGCGAAGCACCATTTTTGTTTTGAACTCGGCTCCCTTTCTCACTTTTATGTTCTTGATGGGAAGGGCAATAATAAATACGCCTTTATGAATTCCAGGTGTTAACTGGTATGGCAGGATCGGAACGGCGAAAGGTATGTGAAGCTATCAGACAGTTGAAAGGCAAAATACAGTCACATGTTAATAAGAAAACTACCCACGTCTTGTTAGGCTCATGTAAGGACGATAATCAGAACATTTCCCGTGAAGCGAATGAACATATTAACGAGCAACTATTGACAGATGACAGAGAAATTGTAAGTCAAACCAACCTATTTGCTGATACTCGAGCCGGCCAGTCAATTCCAAATCCCAAACCAAGAACAGTGAATGCCTTGCTTGGAGCAGTGAGAGGTTGCAGGATTTTGAACGCTCAGTGGGCCTTAGACTCGGCTGAAGAAAGTTGTTGGTTGCCACATTTTGGCTATGAAATACCCCATTTGTTAAAAACCTCACAGGTAAGTGTTTGTTTCTTGTAATTGCAAACACTTTCCTGAAACTATAGACAACAAAATACTACACATTTCAAATGTTTTTAAAAGTGTCTAACAATGTTAACTTCAATAAGTACTGCTTTACTTTGAGTGTTGAGAAAACTTAATTTTTACTAAGTAAATTGATATACCCAGAATATTTGATATCGTATTCAATTAAGGACATTTTCAAAATAAATTTAAATGTATTCAATAAACAAATGAAACTTGCTTCCATTTAAGAGAAAGGGTAAATTTGTAGATTCTAGATTACAAGTTCGTATTTGCGTTTAACTCTTATTAAAGTATAAGTTAGTCTTAGTATTACCGCATTGTTAAGTGAAGCATTTAATTCCCAGGGCAGGGGCTAATTAAATATAGTTTTGGAGATAGATCTATAGATGGCGTTATCCGCAACGCGTAATATAAAAGTAAATGGTTGATTTGCAATCATTTTTAAAACAAAACCTTTTATGCAGAGTTGGGCTTAATAAATTGGCGAATACATTAAGAAAGCCGTGCAGTTCTTTTTGAGTTAATCCAGGATACTTAGACGAACATTTTAACCATCTTATTTATATCGCTCCGATTGCATTTTTTATTATTACATAAAATTTATTAGCCTTCTTTCTTTTTACAGATAGCTAGAGCTGAACGCTCAGCACTCGGTCGTATGCGATCTGAATACGTATACGAGGTGTTCTACGGTATCCACATCAACGTACGAGAAAACGCCCCACACAGAGAGGCCATTAAACAGCTTCTGACGTTGTGTGGGGGGCAAATTGGTACAGACTGCGACATAACTATAGGCACAGCGGAGGGGGAAATTGATTCAAAATGGGTGTTCGACAGTATAGCTGCAGCGCGACTAAGGACTACGAGACGTTATGTTAATAGAATTATTCCCAGTAACGTCGTAGATTTAACAAGATATTAGAAATAGTAGTAAATAAAAACATTCAAAATACAGGTACAGACTGTACCTGTTATTTATAATTCCTAGATATTTAAAAATTATTTAAAGGCTTACGTCAATTTGTAAATAATTTGGATTTGTAATACTATACATTATATTTAGTTGTTTGTAGAGAGTCGCTATCTTGATTTAATTCGACTTTAAGACAGAAATAAAATATCTACATCCAATTTTACTATCACAAATGGACCAATGAATTTAAATAAACACATTTAACGGCTTAAACCGCGAAATATGTTAGATACCTTACTTGTAACTTATCGTCGTTGACGCCGAAGTTAAGTGTTTTATTTAAATGTGTACTACTGGACAATAGTGACAAAACTACACGACAAAAGACAGTTGAATATCAATTTTATTCAAAATATCCACCTATCCCTTTAGTCAACTTTAATCAAGGCCATTATTTATTCATGTATTTATATTATCAATACGCTTATAATAAGCGAAGCGCCAGTTGTCAGTAATTCAGACCATCCATAGGAATGCTATGAACAACTTATTGTGCTATATTTAGGCAACAACAAACATGGTAATCGCTTATTGTGTAATTCGTGTGACTATTCTGTTCAGTATCGTTACCTACGTTGAGTGAAAAGTTAAATAAAAACAACATTTAGTAGTGTACTATATATAATGGCACAATTAATGGTTTAGGTTAAAAATACGACATGTGATAATATTCCCCTTTATATAGTTAATACGCCACACATCCCTGATTGATGTAATTTCCATATTTGCTTACGTTACGTAATGAAACATTTTAATAGAACTAAACACTAACGCGGGACTAAAAAAATGAGCGTTGATAATTAATTCAAATTATTTATTCCACGCCTTAAGTATACGATATTCATTAATAAAATGTATATATTAAATTGGTGTTAATTACATTAACAGTTAAAACCATAAGCGTCAAGAAGTGTTAACAACACAAACTTCGTTGTTGATGGTCATCGATCAGCCGTTGCCGTCAAACAACAGCGCTGCATTGCATTGCAGCGACTAACACAGTATAGTGGGTTTAAATAAAGAAGGAACAAGTGCAAATTCCGTATAATAAAAAAATACCGTAAAATACTATACACTACACTAAGCCTACGAAAATAAGATATGTAAAAAAAGAAAATAAAGACACTCCATACGCTCTCACTATATCCTCCCCTTTGCCCGACGGCGGATCTTGGGGGGGGTCCATGACCCCTGAGCTGGTTTCAGGCTGGATCACTAATTAAGCACATTAATTTTATTTAAAAAATTACATATTTTGTTAATTTTTTAAGCGTACAATTAAGAATGAGTATTTTGAAGTACACAGGACGAACATACAATGAAATACAAATCTATTGTTATCAAAATTAAATTAAACGTCCTTCTCCTGGCGCCCAAGCTGCATCCGCCATTACCTTTGTTATCACCGATCCAGAACGTGCAATCTGAAAGTCCAGCGCTAACTGATCCAGTATGGGAATAAATATGTGGCTAAGATGATACGCAGCTTAATTTGTTTAAGGGGCAAGGGAAGGAAGTCGACAAAGTGCGACTGTGTAAAGAGGAAGTAGGAAAGGCCTTAATTTGTGACGTCACATTTAAAAATCCATCCACAAGTTTCAAAGTCTGGTCGCAAAAGTCCGTGTAAACAATAAGTTTCTATCTATTGTATTCTAGTCAATCGATGTATTATTAGTTAGTTGGTTATGCAATTTAATAGTGTTTGCTTTGGTTAATTTTATTCAAAAATAATTTAAATTGAAAATAAAAATCATTAGAACCTGTCGTTTTTATATACCAATATTAAAATGTAAATTTGGAAAATACGTGACAACGCCTTTGGGAGTGTGGAGGGAGTGTCTCTGAAAGGACGGAAAAGAATGAACTGCAACATAATTTATAAATGTTTTTAAAAATGCACTTGTTAAATCCTTCTCAACATTATTAAAAATTATTATTAATTTATCAAGATTGAAGTAGAAATGTAGGAATAATAACAATTAAAAATAGATCTCTAATAGAATCGAAGTTCTTGAAATGAACTCTCGTATAACGAAAATGCTACATATGACAATTACATAATATATTTTCGACGTCACGGTATCTAACTGTTACTGCACGTGTGCGAAGTCACGCTTCAAAAATTACGGACTGTGCCTACGGAAGACTCGGCTAGAATAAATAAATGTGCTTTAAAGAAATTGGTATCTAACATAAGTACGTAAGGAAATGATTATTACAATTATTTCAAAGCTTAGTGATATTTAAAAACCCTTAGAATTAAAATTGAGTGAAACAATCATTTTAGTAGGGATGGATGTGGATTTGGAGTACTTAACATTTCAGGTTTTTTTATTATTTTGGTTTAACATAATATTATTACTGTAAAACTTAGAGAGCACATAATGCTATTTTCTTTAATACAACGTTTGAATTAATTCTAATTAAATACTGTCTATAGTTTACGCGAGTAGTACACATTTAAATAAAACACTTTAACGGTTTAAAACGCGATATATTAGTTAAACTTATTTGAAAATTATTTTTAACTTCGGCCCGACGTTTCGGATGCTTTGCAGCTAATATACTAATTACGGCTAATATATCGCGTTTTAAACCGTTAAAGTGTTTTATTTAAATTAATTCTAATTAAGTAAAAACTAAATAGCTCTAACAAAATAAGCGTGACAAGACATCACTTGAATGACTCCGTTCGCAGTAACGGCATTTCGGCTTCGTGTGAACCCGGTGAGCTGCGGAGATGAGAGCGGTAGAAGACATGTGACATGGGGTGAATCTCCAACCCGATGTTATTTGTTGTTGTACAGTTCTGTAATAAAACGTAGCATTGATAAGTAAAATTCCGTTTTACCCTGAACGGGCGAGTTTTCAGATTCATACTTGACTTGTGTTTGGTTATTTAGCTACGGAGGCAACAAAGCGCCTATTCAAAGCTTTAAAATAAAGAAGTCGGTTATTACTAGTAAGCAAGAAATTATCTATTTACAGAACAAACTAATGTTAAAGTATAACACATTACTGTGCACATTATAAGTAAGTGATGTTAGGTGTAATTATTATATGTTACACAAGTTACCTGCATAAATTATTAACTTTTCAACTACTTGCAACCCGCCATTTGCGCCTATTTTGAATTGCCTATGTTATTTGATGTTTAAGACAGATGGATCCTCTGAAATCTAAGTGCGCTTGACACAAAGGCAAACGTACTTTGAACGCAGCGAGGGGCGCCACTACTCGCTGGCAACCTTGACATAGAAGCAGCCAACCGGCAATTCTTCACTTTTATCCTGTAAAAGCTCATTAAACAGACTTTATTAACATACACTTTCACTGAATATGAAATATTTTACAGTAGATCCGTTCAAAGATTGATTAACGTAAAGTAAACGTAACGTAAACAGCATAATTTTAAGACGACATTGATACATAATAACAATAATGCATAATATCTTTTATGTACAGGTAGTGCTTTAATAGTACATTATGATATAAGTGCGGTAAGTTGAAAATTACAGCCGAGGCGATAATATTACTAGCCCGAGCCATCGGCGAGGGCTATAAGAAAGCAGAGGCTGAAATTTTCAAAGCGCACGTTTGTCATACGACGTTTATAACATATTTACGAGGAAATTAATAAAACTCTAACTTAGTTAAACGAATAAATATTTAATTAATTGTTAAAGCGATGCGCGCGCATCTAGGTTTTTTTTAGGCAAAGGTACAAAAACTAAATTAATAAAAGTAAATTAATATTTTTGTGTTTTTGTTATAGATAAATGTTTGTGTAATTGTAACTTATTGTAAAAATTAATTAAATTAAAGAATTAAATGTTTATTTGTTATATTTTTTTCCCAAAGATAATTTTATTTATAAAATATTGACCACTTTCTTGACATAAAACCTCTTTGCTAAGGTAATGAGATACATTACGATATTGAAATTGGTGTAATAACAACCACTTTACGAGCAATATATTATAAAGTATATATTGAGAATATGTTATAAAGTAAATAAAAAAAACTACATCAGTTTAAAAACACATTATCTTTCGCACTCATACCTATTGAAGCAATAAGTTCTCATAAATAAATAAAAATATAGGTTAAGAATTAACAAATAATTGAACTAACAAGCTAACCGTTACTATACAACTTCATATGACCGTTAGAAAATGGATAACAAGAAATGGTCGGTAGGACACGTTAAACAAAACAAAAATGTAACATACCTAAACACTGTAACCGAAAATGTTGTTTGAGTGTCAAGGAGGGGTTGCCTTAATGGAAAACGAAGGGCGTAAACAAGTAATACGATTATTAACTTAACTTACCATTACTTGAATATTTAGATATTCCTACTTAGTTTTAGGAAAAAATTAACGATTAGGAAATAGTATGTTGGTCACGCCACGCGTACTACCAGTGGACCAATAAGTGCAAAGGTGTAAAAGTTCGTTTTTTTACTTCTTGAAATCCACTAAGAACATGGTTGTGTATGGACAGCTGTGACCGGGCGTTATCTAGAGCAAACATTATTATCAATTATCTCTAAAGATTTTAGAACCTACCTAACAACGCCTCGCGAAGGAATAAGGAAATAGGTAAAGTTGGACACACCTCAACTGCAACTATTGCTCGAAATACCAATTTCAATATAGCTATAGCATACACCGCCATGGTGGGCTCGCATCCAAACTAACTTAAAATAACTAAATTAATAGAACTTCCCCAGTCCATTATTTAGCTGTATGAATGTTAAAATAAAACAACACTGAAGGCAGTGCTACAACTGAATCTCTAATTTTTCGATTAAAATTTCTACCACATTAGATATATTACGAAGAAAAACGTTATTGTTTTTTATCTAAACCACTAATTTAAGACTGTAGCTATTACCTATAAGGATAGATATGTCTTGAGGCGCCAACCGGTCGCCTTCTGTTGCGATTGCCACCAAAAACAATGTTTTACGTTATTATAAAGACCGCGTAGCTGACGAAAGTTAGAACAATAAACACAGGTAAGATCATAACAATTAAATCAAACAGTCGTCCCCTAATACAATTAAAATACCACGTGCACCACAAAAGAGGATACTAAAGGCAGTAGACACCAAGATAGGAGAAAGGCTCGCTCTGAGTTAGCAATTAAGTAATAAAACATTACTGTAGTAAGCAGACTCCATACCTGCCGTTCTTTGTTTAATCGAACCAAGTTAAGCTTAAAATAAAATAGTGAAGCTAGAAAAGGGTCTTTTCAGGTAATTTGAGAGCGAGAAGTATGATAAATATTTTACAAATAGGTACCTACCAACAAACGTATCATAAACCATGTTAAAATTTAATTGAATATTGCACGAAAAACAAACAATTTGACGAGCCCAACAACTCGTATAATACCGTTTAGCAGGGAGATCGATCTTCGGACAAGGTGTACCGCAATTCGTGAGTGCCTTGACAGCTGGAGTAATTTAAATCATAACGGTTAAGACTCTTAGCTTACGATGAATCATCTTTCCGCCTGATTCACGATGCCGGGTGGGCATTACAAAGTTTCTTGCGACAATGCCTCTACGAGTAAAACAAAGAACTTGCTAAATCGCGATAGAGTGCAGATAGTTTGTTTCCCGACTGCGTTGATTAACGATTCGTTCCTACACAATGAAATCAGCTGTTACCTTTTAGGCGTAACGTTTACTGCTAAAGTTCAGTTAGGCACGTCCTTCATTTCGGCAAAGTTACGAGCGACCGATGCCGATAAATTCATCGAGGAAACCGGTCTTCGCTCAGGTCTACTTCTATTTGCTGACGAACCGAACGTGACACAAAATGTAGATATTCGGATGCTGTATGCAATATTTGGGCTCCAGAATCCTCGACGTGCTTCGGACGTCGACCGGTGCGGTGGTACTCCTAGCGGTCACAGGAGACAGAGCGTTACCTTTGTTTCGAATGCCACGTGCAAACTTGATCTAGCACAACACTGCGCGGGGACCGCAGGCAGGCCGGGATTGGTGCAATTTGATGAAGGCACAAACGTTTACACCGAATCACGTCCTAAGCGTGGCCACCGCTGTGAACGACCGGCCGGGTAACGGGATCGCGCGCCTCGGATGCTGAGTAGCGGTCTTCGAAGGCCGAGCCCGCTTGGATAGGCCGGGACTGGTGCAATATCGTCTGTACGGAATATAGCCCCAGTCTCAGCCCAGCCACGCGGGCCCGTTCTCGCAGCACCTTCCCTCCTTCAACGAAACTCGCGCACGATCGCACCGTGTCCGCGGTCGATGCGCGGACGACACTAGTTCTCCGTTCGACGGTCGGCGCCGGATTGCGGCAGCGCGGGGAGAGCATCGCGCGCGCAGCTGTCGCGCCACGACCCCCTGGCGTCCCATCCCTTCCCCCGGCCCTTTATCGTTCTGGGAAGTGGTTCCTAAACTTCCCCGCTCTACACTCGAAATTTCTCCCCGAATTGAAGCATATTTTAGCAAGACGACAAAGAAGTCGAAAGTAGTGGGCCTTGACACGTAAACTTAGAATGTGACGTTCTTCGTGAGCTTTTGCGATCCACATGGTGTAGTAACTTAGCCAGCTCGTTATGGATAATTATTATCTTGAATTCTCTCTTTCAATAACTCTTGTCTTCTGTGTATTTGTTGTTATTACTAATTTTAAACGATGATGTATGCCATTGATAAATAACGAGGCAACTTGTATATAAAGGCAAATTTTGAGAACTTTAAAAAAAATTGAGCTGGCAACACTCCTATTTGACATTCGAGCCAGCTTGGATGGATCTTCCATCTCGTACGTTCCTACCTGCGGTCACAGATGAGCTATCAAACAGAACCTCAATGTTGTGTTCATTTCATACCGAAAACGTTATTTAAAGGGATGTGTAGAAATCGTTTATTATATTTTGACTTGTTCCTACACTTATCCTATTTTATTCCTACATTATCAAAAACTATTTTTTATCATATCTCAAGAAAAAGTACTTGCTTATAATGTGTTAAAAAACCGAATGTTTCCTATCTTTCATCTGAAAAGTAACATTTTCTTTTAAGTGTAAAGACATTCGTTATAATAAACAGTAAAATCCGTAATTAATCTTTGGCCGTTCCATTAAGTACTTAATTTGTATCAAAATAACTTTAAGAGTAAAATAAATTGGCAACCTTTGAAGTTGGGTATTATAATGCTGTATATAAAAATAGAATAGGTATAAATCTATTAATTATCTGTCTCTGCTGTTTGGAAACATGATAAAACGATCCTTCCTAATTTAAGAAATTGAAAATATTTCGTGTCACTTTAATTTAACAATTATATCTTCTATACCACAAATAGCATAAAAAGAGTAGAAAAATTATAAATTATCCTGAAGTTTTACTTAGCTACAGATATATAAGTAAAAATGGATACTTAATATTGTGTAGTTATAAAATAAATAATGTGTAAAAACTACGAGCAGTTATTGGTTACGTCCACCGTACGTAATTATGGAACCGATTCTGTTACAGCTTGCATATTTGAAGGTCACTCACCTCTGTACTTACTATAAACTTGTTTCGAAATATCTTATATGACATATTATTATTGTTTTACTTCGGTCGCGTTAATTAGTGTTAATCCGTGGCATAGAGGAATAGCTAGAGATCGTCGACGCCAGGCGTTTGGGTTGAAACGAATAATGGTATTCGTTCCAGTGCCTTTCTGAGCAAAGGACCGTCTTACGGTCGTAAAGAAGATCGCGAGTCGCTCCTGATATTAATTTAATCGCCTAGAGTGGCGATTAGAAATGGTTTCAAATTGAATCGATTCGGGTTCACACCGAAATGCTCGTCAGCGCAACGTACGATCTCAATGGAATGAACCGTTTACTCTTTCTCGGAAGTCCCGAGGCCGGCGAAGATTGCCCGAGGACGGGATAACAATTTCAACTTAATCCCGAACAATAAAAGCTTAAAATCCATCACAGGTAATAATTTGTATGGCCCTCGCATTGTTTCGAACCAGATTTGTTGCAAAAAGATCCTCACGAGAATAGATACGCCTGTATTCGGTAGGAAGAGGCAATTTCATAGAAGTCTGCAAATGTTCTACTTAATCAAGGGAACAGGAGAAAATCATATACTTTACACGTCGTTAATCCATTTACATGTTGTTTTGAGAAAGAAAAAAGTAAAGGCATTAGACCACTCTTCCCACACTTGCCATTGCATGCCATGCCGATAATATGTAAGCAAGTAAATAATACTGATTTTCCTAACATGTACTAAAATACTGTCTTAGAAAATCCCACACGACAATATCGATACTTCTCTATAGCTTGGACGTAGACCGCGTGCCGCTTCAAAGAATTTGCAAGAATGTTTCCATTATAGAAGTAAATTAGTCTACCTGCCAAAATGTATTGTACAAAATGTGTTGTAAAATATTACAACAAAGAAGTGATGCAAATCATCTAATATAAATCGTTTACAAAAATTAGTACAAATATATGTAATTAACATTAACGTGTCTACACCTAGAGAGAATTAGCTATAAGTTTAATCTATACTAATATATAAGGTTGAAGAGTTTATTTGTATGTTTGAACGCGCTAATCTTAAAATCTACAGGTTCAAATCAAAGAATTGTTTGTGTGTTGACGCTAAAAATACGCGCTGCGAGTAAACAACGGGAATTGTGGAGAAAACTGGGAAAATTAATGATTCTTGGGGGTTTCCGTAGCGTGCGCTGCGAAAACGGTTAAAAATTCTCAAATACTCTTTAAAGGAACTAAAAAATATCCACGACAGTATATGTCTATCTTATAAGATGAACTTGTTATAACGACGGGGCGCGACTTTCGTCGTGATGAACGTATTATTAAGCTTATATTTTTAAGGACGAAGATGAGGTTTGCAAAAACAAATTTGGATGTTCAAATAAAAATATAAAGAAAGTGAAGAAATGTAATACCTATTTGTAGTTAAATAAATGTACCTGGTTTTAAGATTATCTCTCTCTGTTTTAGACTGTAATTTTTTAATACTGTATTTATTATCTTTAGTCTGTACCACACACACATACATGTTTGTTTTATGGATGTTGTGCCTAACGCAAATAGGATATGCAGATAGCTTTACTCTCTATATGGTTAGTACTATATTTTCATACTGTGGCGTAATTCCTGCTGGCGGGCCTTTTTTTAAATAAATAAAATAACTTTTCTACGCGGACGAAGTCGCTGACACAGCTAGTTAATAATAAAAATGAAAAAAATTGAAATGCGGTTGTATATTAATCTTTTATCTCCGAACGGCCGCTCCATTCTCCATTGATTACCTTCAGAAAGGCTTTCGATCAATATAGCCTCAAAGAAATATTATATTATTAATGTTCCTAGTTAGCTAGTGAAAAATGTCAACGTGGACAGTATACGCACATAGATTGTGTGAGATTCCGTTTCCCCCCGTGGGGCATACAAATTTGCCCGTTTTTCTGATCGGTTTTGTATTTTTGCATCGTTTTTCCAGTTAAACCGAGAGTATAACGAGTAGAACTTATAATATTTTTTAATTATTAATTAAACCTAATAATCAGCTAAAACCCAGACGAATCGGAAACTCTTGACTCGGCATAACATTAATTAGTGAGACACGAGAGAGTAAACATCCTGTCCGTGTGTGATCTCAGCACTTCAGGTCCATTGTAAGCTTGCTTTGTGCTTTGTGCGCTATTCGTCTACGATTTCCGTGTAACACGATTGGCAAACTGTAGCACATACTTTCCGATTCAGATAAGCCGGGAATTATTAAATGAATGCAGTTCGGCCAATGTAACAATTCAAAATCTCACTTATACAAATATGACGAAATGTACATCGAATCTCCCACCTATGAATTCATAAAACTAAACGTAAAATAAATGTCTACTGACACGCACTTGTATCTTTAACTGTTTTTCTACTAAATAACGTAATCTTTTCTCTAACAATACAAAAATACAACTTTTTTATGAAACATGGTGTATATTTACGAGTAGTTAAAAACTCAAAGGGCACCAGTTATAGTAAAAGGAAAAAATAGATCGATTATATCTCGATGAACGCATCTGACGAGTCACGTCAGACAGACTCATCGCCTGCATCTGTTGTTTTTAATGCGTAAATTTGAACTTCCTATATTGACACTTACATAATAATTGTCTTTAATTGAAAGGGATCGCAGTTCTCTTGTCTCAGTTATGATGTAATTTTAAGGGGCAAAAATTCTTACTAAATTAAATATTTTCATAAATTAAATGTAATATAAGTATATTTTATTTCAGAGTGCCGGCTATATTTCCCCAGAATTTGACCAATCCGTGACTGATCAGTCAAGCGAACAATCTTTGCAAACTTTCGCATTTATAAGCAATATAGTAGACTAAGATAGGATTGAGTTAGGCTAACTTAGAACGTACATACCGAAGGATGCCCAGTAATGTTGATTGGATGTTAAAGTCGGGAGTTTGGATCAGCAGATGTCCAAACAGCTGCGCTCGTGCCAACAGCCCACCTTTCCCGCCTTTTTGCTCTTTGTTCAAACGTCAAAGATTGATTCGTTCGGATAGTCGCATCTGCAAAGACATTTCAAAGTTTATTAGTTTATTATTCCTAATACTGATTCGTTACTATTTTTAAAGCTATTTGCGTTTCGTTTTATGACATTACTTAAAAAAAATTGCTAAATTCTAAAATATTGTTAATTATTATTACATTTGAGTAGTTCAACTACTCAAATGTAATAATAATTTGTGGATTTTTTTTAATAATATGGGTGCGATGGGTAGAAAGTGACTTATATAACATAATAACTCATGATTATTATGCGAAACACAAACAATTTTACTGTCAAATATTTATCATAACGTCGTAAAATTGTTATTAAAAGTCACCTAATTAATTTTATAGCTGATAACGGTTCAACGATTCTCGAGGCTCAAGCGTAGAATTGTTTAGATTTTCTCATATTCATTTAATACAAACGACAATTTTACTATGGATATAAGTACGTAAAAATAGATACTCTACGATGGTAAATTTACGTTAAATGCCACTTTGTTAAAAAGGCAGAAAAATACTAGTGTTAAATTGTATGAAAAAAGATTTATTTTCGCCTAATTCTCACGCCTTTCTTAATCTTTGACCTAAGCGGGAATAATTGTTGGTCCTCGAAAGTGGTAAAGTATAATCACCTGTGATTGGTCACAAAAAGCGCGATGAAATTGGTCAGATGTCGTCCAATCTGGCAGATGCTCGCCAGCTGGTCTGCGCGCGTTGCACCCAGCGTCTATACAGGGTGTCTCCGGACTCCCGAGGCCATCACCGGCGGCATCGTGTAACAATAGAATAAGATTAACCTTCTACAAATTCGTATCACGATTGACTTTTAAAAATATAAGGGTAGAGTTAAAATACGACAACGAATTAATTGAGATCAAGAGTTTAAAATTTGTCAAACACCGTATGCTATGTATCACTAC